GAGGAAATGTAATGGTTTGGGGTTGTTTTTCCTACTATGGTACTGGGCCCATATATAGCATTGAGAGTGTTATGGACGCCAATTTGTACACAGAAATTTAAAATGACACTATGATGCCTTATGCTGATTGGAACATGCCGCTTAGATGGGTGTTTCAACAAGACAACGACCCGAAACACACGTCTAAGCGGGCAAAAGCTTGGTTCGAAAACAATGGAGTCGAAGTTTTAAGCTGGCCCGCTCAGTCGCCAGACTTAAATCCCATTGAGAATTTGTGGAGAGAAGTGAAACTGGCTCTTAAAGGAAAGAATCCTTCTAATAAAGATGAGCTGTGGACATTGATCAAAGCTGCGTGGGAGAATATTCCAATAAAGACTTGCCAGCAATGATGGGCAAAATTTCTCTTAAAAAATGTTTAAGGGAAAATAAAAACATGAATTATTCTTCGGAATTTATTAAATTTAATATTTTTAAAGCATAAATAATATCCAAGGAAGTTCAAAAAATAAATTCATTAAAAAAAATTCGGAAAATATTTCATTAATGTTTATTTTTGTTTTAACATCAAAAAATGTAAAGAGAACCCATCAACGCTGGTGTGCAAGTCTGCCCAACTATGCTTGCCAGGCACTTGTGGAATCTATGCCAAGACGATGCTTAGCAGTAATAAAAAATAATGGTCATGCTACTAAGCACTAATCAACAATAAGTGAGAATTAAATTAATTTGTTTCTATTAGTACAGGAATTTTCAAAAAAAGTTACATGACACTATTTTAATGCACAGCCAAAATTAGTGTTTTTGAAGTATTTTTATTTTTATTGTTGTGTTATGTTTTTAATTACCACGTGAATACTGTAATATTTTATGTTTGTACATAAATAAAATATCCAAAAGAAAAAAGTTAACAAAGATTTCAAAAAATTTTATTTTTTTAAATTTTTCTATCTGGGTTACGAGCGACTCTATTTCATTTCACATCACTGTATATCTCCCATTTATATTTTTACCCAATTTTATGTAATTAGTTCACCAAAGAGTTAAGAGTTGTTTTAACACTAGAACGCCGAAGGCGGTCATTTTGACCGCTTTCCAATTTCAAGTACAAAAGCAACTGTGCGTTTAATGACACTTTTTTTTTAAAAATATGGTGACTTTTTCTACCTCATAGAATTACGTTTATTATAAAAAATTCACCAAATTTTAAAAAAAAGTGTCATTAAATGCACAGTTGCTTTTGTACTAAAAATTGGAAAGCGTCAAAATGACCGCCTTCGGCGTTCTAGTGTTAAATGCAAACATTGTTCCCATATATATGACTGACTTCATATTAATTGTCAAACTGCAGCATAAGGTGTAGTGTTCGTTCGTCGTTCCCTTTGCAACACCCTGAAATATTCACTGGGACCCCACAATGTGGATATATTTTTGATCAGAATAAAATTCTATGTCGATTTACGTATGTCCGTGTTGATAGAGGTCTGAAATTTTGCACAGGCATTGCTAGTACTTTTGGCATGATTGCTATGTTTAGGCATAGTTGCCAGCCACTACTTTGAAACTCCAGGGAAATTATCCAATATTATAAATGTGTGAGAATATCATTCTCTGATACAAGAAAGAATACTTTTCGTATATTGTTCAGTTGTTCATTTCTAAGTAAGGACTTCTACAAAATATGACTTTTTAAAAGTCTTCCTTTCAGGTATTATATATGGAGACCAGAATCAGTGATTAATGTTAATATACAGAATGACTCTTATAGATCTTCTAAATATAGAAACATATAATACAAAACCGTATTTAAGTATTCAATTCTACTCCAGCTAATATTTTCGTTTAAATAGACGTTATTTAATTAGCTGTATTTCCCCTGAGTTCTTTAATTTTCGTTCATATATCAAAAAAAAAAAAAAAAAAACAAAACAAAATTTTTTTACGATCCCCACTGAATTGTAAAAAAAAATGCTGATAGTAATTAATTTAAGCCATATTTGAGGTTGTTAACCTATATTACCATATATGGAATATACAGCCAAATATAAAACCAACACGAAATTGTAGTTATTGACATACATATATTAAAATGCAATAATTTTTATAATTCTCTTTTCTGTTTTTTGGATTTTTATTAAATGCTCTTAAATATTTTTTTATTTATTTTGTTCTTACTCTCAATATCTTTACAGCTCTGCCCGCGAGAATTTATTACATCAACAAAACTTTTATTACATCAACGTACACACAATGCTGCTGCTGCCGCCGCCGGCAATCGTAAACGTTTTCAATGTGAAATTTGTTCAGCATTTTTTGCAACATCATCGAATTTCAAATCACACCAATTGACACATAGTACCCAACGTAACCACCGATGTGAAATGTGTAATAGGTTATTTAAATCGAAACGAGATTTGAAACGACATCAGGTTGGAGTACATGTAGCCAGCAATGATCATGAAATTTTCTGTCAGATTTGTGGAAAATCATTTAGCAAACAGGCATCATTGAGCTCGCACCTGACAATGGTGCACCGTGGTTGTCGTATACGTAAACATAAATGCAGTGAATGTGATAAGATTTTTGGCAAAAAATCAAATCTTATCAACCACATGAGGTTCGTCGTCGATTCAATTGGATTGATAAACTAAAAAACAATTGAAATAGACAAAGTAAATTGGTTTTGTTGTATGTTTTGCTTCTTTTCAGAATCCACAGTGGCGAGAAACCTTTTGAATGTCCGACATGTTATTGGAAATTCACACAATCATCATCATTGCGAAGACACATGAAAAAGCACAGTAAGAGGTAAATCAATCATCACATAGAATACGAAATAGGAATGTTGGAAACTGTGCTGGTTGGCATTTTGATGTTTTGGTTTTTATACCCTACCTACCGCCTATAAATTGATTTTATATTTTAAGACTTCGTAGATCTATTAAAGGATTTAAAAGCAGATACAATGATGCTTCTAAAAACGACAATCTAAAAGGGGGCATATATCTATCGGTAGATGAAAAGTCATTATTTGTAGAAGGCAGCTTCTGGTGCTGTCTACAAGTAGAGCTTCGATATACCTAGAGGAGTTACCAATCTCCTACTAGGCGCGTCTTTCCGGGTGGCGGATGGAAAGGGGGTTTCTCGGGTCGTTTCGGATCGTAGGCCCCTCTGTCGTGAAAACGGTTTCTACGATGTGCAGGGTGGATCTGACCTAGGTCAAACTAGGGGATCTTCGGATTCCCCGTGGACCAAAATGGATTAGGGTAGTGCCCTTAAAATAATCAACTAAGATGGAAAAAATAATAGAATAAATAAAGTTACGGTGCAGGAAGCTAATAACCCAGTACCGGCGGTAATCGTTGCTAAGACCATAAGCCAAGTGTCGTCGAGCTCAAGCGATTGTGTTCCGGCTGTTCTAGGTATGGATGCCTTGGCAACTGCAGCTGTACCTGCTACAAGCGCTACCCCTGCTACCCCAAAAAAATGACGACCCGGCAATTCAAATGGAAAACGAGCTAGTCAAAACCGATGCGAATCAGTCTACGACTGTCAGGACTGTAGTTCTGGGAGAGGACGACCTATATGGGACCCTTAGTGTTATCCGCGATAGTATAGAGTAACAGAGTAGGGAGCTCTTCGACCAACTGGACAGGCTTGTAACGGAAGAGCAAAGTGTGGATACACTTCCGGAGGAACTGCTACTAAATCTTACCCTGATTGGTGATAAGCTGCACTCTACGGTGATTCCGGCCAAGTCTACACAGGAGGATTGTTGTAGCATCAAGTTCGGACGAGATGCGAATTTGCTATCGGAGAGGGAGGTTCATCTCATCAAGGGCAGGATGAGATTCGTATGGAAGTTCGAAAGAACTTACCCGCACGCTCTTCATCGTAAGCTCGAGATGGAAAAGATCTCCTTCCCGAAACAAATCTCTATGGAGACCTAGGATTCGAGAAAAGTAGTAGTGTCGGTGGATCGGAAGGCTAGCCCGAGTCAAATGGCAATTAACAAGGCTGAGCACACCCCGACACAAACCGTCATTCTTAAGGGTGATCGATGTGTGAAAGGCTCTGTCTCGAAGCTTTGAGTAGCCCCACCGTTGGTCGAAATAGGAAGAAGGACAAACCCGCAAGGTAAATCTATGGCGAATTTGTACCTACGGGTATGGATGTATCCGGAACGAACTAGGTATGACATTGAATCAACGCGTAAAACTATGCGGCTATATATCACCAGTCCTGAGATTTGACGATATAGATGTCGTTATCCCTAGTAGAGACGACTGGAACCGTAGCAACCCTCCTCCTCTGGAGGGACAGGGTCTGTCGTCTACTGTGAAATGCTAGGCCTTGAGCTTAACTACAACTGTAGTGTTTTCCCAACTGAAATCTTCGCTTTTTAGAAGTCGGTGAAATTGATAAAAAGTCTGGGTGCAGAGATCGTTGAACCGCATTAGTGATTGCACATCCACAAACTTAACCTAGCGATAGCGTCATTTGCGAAAATAGGTGATGCTAGGGGGATAACATTCAGACCTTCTAGTATGCTGCCACGAAAACTGCAACAGACTGTGAACTATCGGGGGGAACATCCATGTCTTCGCTTTATACATAGACTTTCCCCGACCATGAGGGTCAAGATGCCTAAAGGTCTACAAAGGCTCCCTGAGCTTTAGCTCGTCTATAAAGACTCCTGAGCTTCACTTCATTTATAAAAGCGTCCCTAGCTTCAGTTCATCTATAATTCCCTGAACCCCACTACATCTATAAAGACTCCATGAACTTTCTGATCTTCAGTTCGTATTTAAAGATTCCCTGAACTTCAGTTCACCCACAAAGACTACTTGAGCTGCAGCTCGGCTATCTAGCAAAAATATTCTTTTTTTATAATTTTATATTTTTTTCAAAATAATTTATTTTTTTAATTTTAATCTTTACTTTAATTACAGCCAATCTGTTACATAAAAACAACTCCAAGTGAAAAAAGCAACAACAATTTATTACGTTTTCTTTTGATATTCTTCATATAAACGTAATAAATCGGAACTTGTACGTGGTCGGACCACACTTAAGGCATATTCAAATTGTGTCATAGTTACAGCGGTAGCATCAAAACTTTCTTCCAAAGTTTTGAGAGCAGCTTCATGGCAGACGGCTTGTATTTCAGCACCCGAATACCCATCCGTTCTCTCCACCAATACATCAACGCAGACATCATCGGCTAATGGCATTTTCTTCAGTTTAATTGTGAAAATTTGTCGTCTTGCCTCTGAGTTGGGTAGACCAACATAAATAATACGATCAATGCGTCCGGGACGTAACAGAGCTTTATCAATCATATCTGGACGATTTGTGGCAGCTACAATGGTGACATTTTGTAACGATTCGACACCATCCATTTCGGTTAGAAGCTGGGTAAGAACACGTTCTTTAACTGAACTGCCGGAACCACCTGAAGCACCCTCAGCACGTTCCCCACCAATGGCATCGATTTCATCGAAGAATACAATGGATGGTGCCACCTGTCTGGCTTTGCGAAATACTTCCCGTACTGCTCGTTCCGATTCACCAACCCACATGGAAAATAATTCGGGACCTTTAATGGAAAGGAAATTCAATTGACTTTCCGTTGCCAATGCTTTGGCTATCATCGTTTTGGAACAACCAGGCGGACCGTACATAAGTATGCCACGTGGTGGTTTAATACCCAAACGTTGAAACTGTTCGGCATGCTTCAGAGGCCATTCTATGGCTTGTTGTAATTTAAGTTTTAATTCATCTTGGCCACCAATATCCGACCATCTAACATTGGGACATTCGATTAAGACTTCACGCATGGCAGAAGGTTTAACAATCATCAGGGCAGAATTAATATCGGCCATGCCTAATTCAACATTACCACCACTGAGTGGTGCAGAGGCATTTTTCATTGCCTTCAAGGTGGCATTATAAATTAGATTAGCCAAATCGGCACCCACAAAACCGTGAGTAATTTGTGCTATCTCCTTTATATCTTCCTCCTGTAGTTTGTGATTTTCCACTTTCTTGAGCAAACAATGTAAAATTTCCTTTCGACCATCTGGTGTTGGTGCCGCCACTTCCACCTCACAATCTAAACGTCCGCATCGCCGTATGCTGGGATTTAGCATTTCAATATTTGATGTCGTGGCGAGTACAAAACACCTTTGAGCCTCCTTTTTGTGCGACAATGAGTCGAGTAAACTAAAGAAGGCGATTGCGACCCGCTTTACAACATCATTAGTTTCTTGTTTCGGACATAGATTGTGAACATCTTCGATTATCACCAACGATGGTTGAGGATAATGTTGGAAGACTTTATCAAATTGTAAATTTAAATTCTTTTCGGTTTCACCTAAAAATTTACTAAACAATTCACTGGTATTTAGATGTAATATCAAAGGTTTAAATGCGGATTTGGTTTGTCGTCGTTGCTGTTCTAGTAGCTTTGTAGACATTGCTTCGCAAATCATTGTTTTGCCGCATCCTGATGAACCATAAATTAATAAACCGCGTGATATTTTAACACCTGCAGATAAGAATAAAAAAATAATTAATTAATTGAGAATATGGTGTATGTTATTATCTAAACGAAAACGATTATATTTTAATTTGGAAAAGAAAACAACAGAGATTCCGTAAAAAAAGTTTCTGTATAAATTCTACTGAAACATGTTTACAACAAACTGGTATTGCAAATGATAAAGTAAAATGAAATAAAAAGAAAAAACTTATGTAATTATAACCACTCGTTTATAGAGACTGCCTTCGATTTATCTGTACATTGCTTTGGCTCGCGTACATTGCTTTGGCTCGCGTATGAAAACTTCAAAAATCAAGCTCATATCTAAAGACTCATCTACAAAGACTATGAGAAGAAGATTCTGCACAAATTTTAGCGGAAAATTTATACGACATACAGATATTGAAAATGAGCAAGTAAAATAAAATAAAAAGAAAAAACTTATAAAATGGCAACAACTCGTTTGTACAGACTGTCTTAGTTTAAGGGAAACATTTTCAATGGGCTGGTAAATCAATACAATGCTTGTTAAGGTTTGTAACTTTGCACATATATAATTGAAGATTTAAAAGTAAAAAAATAATTTACAAAAAAATTTTGTTATTGTTTTGTTGTTGTTTTTTGTAATTAAAAAAATTTTTGATGTAATTATAAATCCAAAATTCCAACGGTGTTATAGAGACATGTGAACTAGGATTATTGACTTCGCTCTAAAATTAAGAAAATGGTGGCCCTTTGAAAAAATATTTTTGAAAAATCGCGGATTTTTTACCAAAAACCAAGTTAAAAAATAAGGAAGATCTTCACCGATTGGCTTTATCCTAGTTCATACGAGAGCTATACACTCCCAAGAAATTTGGAACCGATTGGATTATTAGTTTTTGAGTTATCTCATTCGCAAAAAAATGTTTAGAGAAAAACGCGTTTAAAGTTTGAGAAGCCCTTCATCACTTGATGCTGACACAATAAATCGGATATATCTTCAACAGTTCTTGAGATTTTCACTTGAAATTTTGTAGAGACATTCTTTAATCAGTGTAGATTCGAATTATATCAAATTTTACCCCGCGGAAAATTTATACGACATACAGATATTGATAAATGAGATCATCTATATAAATAAAATAAAAGTAATATGAAAAAAAAGCTTATGATCCCTTATTCAACTCCCATTCAGAACATCTATAAATGGTCTCTTCTTCAGTTTGCCTATAAGAAATGCCTGTTACAGCTCATCTAAAAAGACTACCTCCTTCATTTTGTAAAATTCTTCCATAAAATATCTTCCTGCTTCAGTTCTTTTCTATAATAGTTTTCCCTGACCTTCAGCCCGTCTAAAAAGAGTCTGCGCATTTTATTTTTACTATAAAGACTTCGAGCTTTTCCGTTCGTTCATTTCGTCAATGACGACTCTCTGCCCTTCGCCTCGTTTGTAAAGACTCTTTGTCATTAAACTTATTTGTAAAGACTCCTTGTCCTTCAAATAGTCTATAAAGACTCTTTGCCCTTCGGGTCGTATGAATTCGCCTTTCAGTTCAACCATAGACGTTCCTCCTTGAGCTCTTCTATTAAAACTTCATGCCCTTCAGTTAGTCTATAAAGACTTCCTGCTGCTATTCAGCTTGGCGAATAAAACTCTGCCCTTCATCTTTTCCATAGATTTTTCTGCTTCTGCTCCTTCAGACATCCTATTGATACTCCCAGACCTTTAGCTTGTCTATAAATACTCTCTGCCCTTTAGCTTGTCGAAAAAGACTCTCTGTCCTTCAGCTTGTCGATAAAGACTCCCTGCCTTTCAGCACGTCTATAAAAACGCCCTGCCTTCACCTTCAGCTCTTCTAAAAGACCCCTTTTTACACAGCTCGCCTAAAAAGACTCCCTCCTGCTCTTCTATAAAGACTCCCTCCTGCTGGTCTAGAAAGACTCCCTTCTGCTCGTCTATAAAGACTCCCTTCTGCTCGTCTATAAAGACTCCCTCTACCTCGTCTATAAAGACTCCCTCCAACTCGTCAATATAGACTCCCTCAAGCTCGTCAAAAGACTCCCTTAAGCTCGTCTATAAAGACTTTCGTCTCGTTTATAAGACTCCAATCAGATTGTCTTAAAAATTTCCTTCAGCTAGACTACTAAGGCTCTTTTCAGCTCGTCTATAAAGACAGTTTTTAGCTCGTCTATAAAGACAGCCTTCAGCTCGTCTATAAAGACAGCCTTCAGCTCGTTTATAAAGACAGCCTTCAGCTCGTCTATAAAGACAGCCTTCAGCTCGTCTATAAAGACAGCCTTCAGCTCGTCTATAAAGACAGCCTTCAGCTCGTCTATAAAGACAGCCTTCAGCTCGTCTATAAAGACAGCCTTCAGCTCGTCTATAAAGACAGCCTTCAGCTCGTCTATAAAGACAGCCTTCAGCTCGTCTATAAAGACAGCCTTCAGCTCGTCTATAAAGACAGCCTTCAGCTCGTCTATAAAGACAGCCTTCAGCTCGTCTATAAAGACAGCCTTCAGCTCGTCTATAAAGACAGCCTTCAGCTCGTCTATAAAGACAGCCTTCAGCTCGTCTATAAAGACAGCCTTCAGCTCGTCTATAAAGACAGCCTTCAGCTCGTCTATAAAGACAGCCTTCAGCTCGTCTATAAAGACAGCCTTCAGCTCGTCTATAAAGACAGCCTTCAGCTCGTCTATAAAGACAGCCTTCAGCTCGTCTATAAAGACAGCCTTCAGCTCGTCTATAAAGACAGCCTTCAGCTCGTCTATAAAGACAGCCTTCAGCTCGTCTATAAAGACAGCCTTCAGCTCGTCTATAAAGACAGCCTTCAGCTCGTCTATAAAGACAGTCTTCAGCTCTTTGTCTATAAAGACAGCCTTCAGCTCGTCTATAAAGACTCCTTTCAACTCGTCTATAAAAACTTCCTTTAGCTAGTCTATAAAGGTTCCCTTCAGCTCGTCTTAAGAGACTCCCTTCAGCTCGTCTAGAGAGACTCCCTTCAGCTCGTCTAAAGAGACTCCCTTCAGCTCGTCTAAAGAGACTCCCTTCAGCTCGTTTACAGAGACTCCCTTCAGCTCGTTTACAGAGACTCCCTTCAGCTCGTCTACAGAGACTCCCTTCAACTCGTCTATAACAATTCCTTCAGCTCGTCTATGAAGATTTCCTTCAGCTCGTCTAAAAATACTCAGCGCGTCTATGAAGACTCAGCGCGTCTAAAAATTTAAAGAAAATTTTTAAAATCTAAATTAAAAAAATAATGACTTACCTTTTGGAATCTCACGTATGCCCAATGCAAAATCTATTGCCTCCTCTATAATATTTAATTGTGGCTGGAGGCCACCAATATCCTCTTTGCTGATTGAATAGTTTGTATCCTCCGCACTCTCTAATTGTTTACTTTCATCCTTGGAAATTTTAACTTCCGTTGTATTTGTTACTCTAAATATATCACCGATAGTATTCAATGATAATTTCTTGAAATCTATTTCCAGTTCATTACTTTTCGCCTCAGTTATATTCGTACCACCGATCACCTTAAATTTCAATTGCTTATTAAAGAAATTATAATGTATTATGGTATCTTTGGCAAAGCAAAGATTTTTTAATTCATGTTTTAGTAGACGTTCCAAATCCTGTAACTGTTGATCGTTCAAATCAATATTAGTTTCTCCTCCATTTTCCGAACTTTCTTTTTCGATTTCTAATAGCAAATTTTTTGCTGTGATCGGCTGTCCTTTGGGCAGACATTGTATTTGCCAATTGTGACCTTTAAAGTTACACCAATTATTTTTAAAATCTATAAAAATAATAAAATAATTTTTAGCATTTTCTTATGATACTATACCATTACCCCACCTACCATTCTCATTGACAAATATCGTAGTTAAAAACTTATCTGGTATTGGCCAAACATTACGTATCCTCACTACATCTTCCTTTGCGGATTTAATCAGCACTTGTTGACCAATATGTAGTCCCGATAAACGTATGACTCCCTCCGATATAAATATTAGATTATTTATGTATTTCTCGGGCATATCTTTTAACGGTTCAATTTCGAATTTCCTCACTTCCAAACTACTTGTCGAGAATATACCCCTCCGAATATATTCCAATGGTTCACCTTTCTCATTTTCGATCTGACCGTCTTCTATGGGACATACATTTTCATGTTTTTCGCGATCATTGGCTGTTATATGTGCATCACATTTTTCACAATTATACCAAATGGCAGCTGCTTTATTTGAACTTTTCTTGTTGGAGGACTTTGGTGGCATTTTAAAAGCGATATTTAGAAATGATGGTCATTAAGGAGTTACTTCTATGCGGCGACAGCGGCATGGATTTGTTTACAAAAATAATAATTCAGCATGTGTTTGTTCATGGTGTTAACAAAACAATTCACAATAGATGGGACATATGGTAACTGAACAAAACTACAGGGTGATTCAAAAAAAAAATCCACATTCATTTAATTAGTAGTTGGAATTTGAATTTAAATTTTTTATATTTACCCGTAAGGAGCTCCAGAATGACAGATTGGAACAAATCAATTGTGAAAAGCATCGGGAATTAGTGTAATCGTTTATAAAGACTACCTCCAGCTCATCTATAAAAACTGCCTTCAGCTCGTCTATAAAAACTCCCTTCAGCAGGTCTATAAAGACTCTCTTCAGTTCGTCTATGAATACTCCCCTTCTGCTCGTCTACAAAGACTTCCTCAGGTCGCCTATTAAGACTCCCTGCTTTGCAGCTCTTCTATAACTCGTCTATAACACATCAGTCCGTCTATTAGGAGTTCCTGTGCTTCAGCTCGTCTATTCAGACGCCCTGTCGTTTCGCTCGTATTTAAATACCTTTTCAGCTCTATAAATGGTCTGTTCCCGTACCTCAAGAATCTACTACTTTTTACTACGATAACGAAATTTCCTTTATGTTATCGAAGAAAATAGTAAAATCTAGTAGATTCTTGCAGTACGGGAACAAACCAAAAGTCTCCATATCGTTCAGCTCGTCTATAAAGACCCTGCCCTTCATCTCCTCCTTAAATACGCTAAGGTCTATAATCAATCCCTTCTTCAGCTCGTATATAAAGATTCCCCTGACTCAGTTCGACAAAAAAAACTTTCCCTACTTCAACTCCTCCATATAAGAATGAAATCAAAACATAAGACTGATATCTATTAGAATGCCTACTGGTCTTCTGTGAGAAGCCATGTTGGTCTTTCATAAGCTCACCTGTTGATCTTCCATAATACGACCTCTCAATCCTCAATAAACGCTTGTAGAAGCTGAACTGACAATTTTCCATTAAAAGATATGTTGGTCTTCCATTAGAAGACCTGTTTGACTTCTATAAGAAGAAATGCGTCACTTTTATAAGAATACCATTTAATCTTTAATGAAACTTCCTTTTAGCCTTGTATAAAAAAACTCGTTCGTCTTCTAAAAGTGATCCTTTATCTTCTAAAAATGGACCCTATGATCTTCTAAAGTAAAAACTGCCGGGTTATAGACCCGTCTATAAAGACAGACGCATATGCAATTTTTTTACAATGGAAAAATTAGTAATGCGTGCTTCCATTGTAGAAAAATAGCGGATGCGTCTTTTTTGAACACCTGTTTCTATACGAAGGAATTGTCAGATCGCAACAAAATTTAACATGTGTTCCTAACAGAGGTGGAAGTTTCCAAGACACTTAATTTTTTCTGTTTATATTGCGCTTTTTGAACTGCCCTCGTAAATCAAGTAGTGAATATTGGTCCAATGTGTAGGGTATTTTAGAGGTTTTAAACCAGGGTTACAACAGATTTAGATGTAATTTAGTATTTTGGATTCACGATGGGTAGCAGATCTGCCTACGAAAAATTATCAATATTGATTCATGTTTAGGGATAGCCCCACATATAACCGTAAACCCCAATATTCAGTATTTCAATGGTTTTGGGGACATGTTTCAAGCTGTTATTTTCGGTTCGGTTTCGATGGGTAGCAGATCTGCCTACGAAAAATTATCAATATTGATTCATGTTTAGGGATAGCCCCACATATAACCGTAAACCCCAATATTCAGTATTTCAATGGTTTTGGGGACATGTTTCAAGCTGTTATTTTCGGTTGTTGTAGTAAATTTTCCTACTAAAAATTATAAATATCGGTCTGCGGATCGGAGGGCATAAAAAAATTTTCGGGCAGGCCGAACTTAACCTCGTTTTTTTCTTTTTTTAATACTCCATTTATTTAATAATGCATTTAATATATTTGTTGTTGTTTTTTAACACATAAATAATAATATATTTTGTTATATAAAGGTATCCAATATAGTTATAAGATATAAATTTACACAGTTTTGAAATTATTAATGATGATGAAATTGCATATTCCAAATAATTAAAAAAACTAAAATGAATTTCAAAAACAATCACTGATAAAAAGTATTTTTGCTAGCTACTCTTTGTGGTTTTGTAATCTGTATTTTCTGATAGGACGAATTACATTATGATTTTGTGTGTGGGTGTGTGTAATGATTTATCATTATAGATGATAGAAGAAATTGTTAAAAAAAAAGAAAAAGAAAAATTAACCCATATTGTTGTCATAAACAGAATCATATTTCCTTTTATTGTAATAGTAAATCCGTTTCTAAAGCATTACAAGCCATTAAATCCTTTTCCAATTGTTTTGTACTCTCTGCGACGGAGGGGCTTTTTTGATTAAGGAATAAATCAAAATCGTATGCACCATTGGAAGGTGTACTACTGTTGCCTAAAGCAAATGGATGATGAGCAGTAATCGAATTGCTGGAGGCATTTAAATCAATGCCCAAAAGACCTAAATCTTTTAAAAGTTGATCACTTTCATTTATTGTTGTTGCTGTTGTTAACGATGATGATGATTGCAATTGCTCACTTTGACTAATTAATGTATCCCCATTGGTTGTATTGTCATCGGTTAACAGAAGTATATCTTCTGAAATATTTGTTTTGTTCGCCGACGAGGATGAGGACGGGGGAACATTTATGATTGCAGCTGGTTTTTCAACTGCTTCCACGCCACATACAATTTCCCCTGCCTTTGTGGTGTTGCTAAATGATTTATTTGCCGATTGTTGCTGCTGCTGTTCTTCCTCTTCATCATCATCAAGTTTTTGCGGTTCCAATATCTTCGATTTATATTGAAAGTCGGTTTCTTTAAAATCTACTTCAATTGGGAATAGACTCGGTAATGATTCCATACGCTCCACTATGGAACCACTTAATTGCCCTAAACAATCGAGCAGACTGCGTAATTGCTTAGTCAAGTCGTTGGCATGTTTACATTCCAGTAATTCCATTTTCTCCAAAACATCTGTTCTCAGTTTGGCAAATTTCGTGCGGGCATCTTGACGACATCGCAATATCAGACGATATTCATAGTTGCCCGTTTCGACACGATACAGCGGCTCCTGTATGGCACTAAACCCGTGTTCCTCATCATCCATTTCTTTGACTTTTAGACAATACGAAAGATAGGTAAATTTGGCATCCATATAACGTTTTACAGTCAACTTGGTATCGGGTATGGCTTTGTGTAGATATGTTCCCAAATCATCAAGGATGGGTTTGATTTTCTTTATAATGGCCAGGCCATCTTTTTCCAGATTACGATGAAATTCTCCAAAGAGACGAAATGCCTCGGAGGCGCGCATTTGTGGTTCTCTGGTACTGATGCGCATAAAACAATCACCAAATGCTCTATAACTTTGTAGGATATCGTAATAAGCTTTGAGCATTCGACGTGCATGATCCACCAAACCTTTATACATTAGCTCGGTACCCTCTAATTCTTCTAGTCTTTTCACTAAAGAATCATTACACAATATCGCTCGGGACAGACCCAACGTATCGGCTGTATTACTCGACATATTATCAACAATACGATGTTTTAATTTCTTCAATATAATGTCGAGGGATTTTCCTCTTTCTGGATCGGCATGCAATTTATTGTAGTGTATGGTAACTTGTTGGCTGGCAGCTTGTATCATTTTGGCAACCTGGACTTTTGTTTTGCCTTTTACACTGGTACTGTTGATGGCTAACAGCTCATCACCGCTTTCCAAGGAGCCTTCTTTTGCTGCAGGGGTGCCATCAAAAACCTGGAAAGGAAAATGAAAAAAATGGGGTGTGAAAAATATGTCGTTTTTTGGGGACAATTTGAAATACTTACCTGTACTATATACAAACAAGGACAAAGTGGCGCCCCACCACCAATACTAATCCCTATGAGATTAGTATCATCTTTAACGATTACCACAGATTTTGTACTGACCGTCATGCCCCTGTGGAAATTGGGAAAAAAGATGTAAATGATTAAAAAACAAGTTTTTGTGGATTGTTATGGCTATAAGAAAATAATCGATATTTATGTTTGAGGATAACATCGCAAATGTTATGCTAAGTAAATTGCATAGCTGGGAAAGGACTTACGATTCTTTAGCTATATATATTCACTACTCGGTATTGCAACAAGGGAAGTAATGTATATAAATATGTGGACAAGGACAGATGAATTTCAGTTCCAAACTTAGAATGAGCAATATTGACTATTTTCAGGACGCCGGGTTTTACAAATGATATACTAACCTCCAAGATATAAATTGATCGGTATAGAGACCAAAGATCTATATAACGGTCTTTATTAAGACCAATTGGTCTGTATAGAGACTGCAGGTCTTTATAAAGACCAATTGGTCAATATAGAGACCGCAGATCTTTATAATGACCAATTGGTCGGCAGGTTTTTTTAAAGATTATTGGGCTGTATAGAGACCATAGGCCTTTATATAGACCAATTGGTCGATATAGTGACTACAGATATTTATAGGTCGGTATAAATACTACAGGTCTCAATGAAAACCTTGGTTGGGTTGGTTTTATATACCCTCCACCATAGTATGAAGGGTATCTTAATTTTGTAATTCCGTTTGTATCTCATCGAAATATTCATTTCCGACCATATAAAGTATATATATATTCTTGATCAGGGTGAAATTCTAAGACGATCTAGCCATGTCCGTCCGTCCGTTTATTGTAATCACGCTATCTTCTGAAGGAATTGAGATAGGGTGCTGAAATTTTGCATAGGTTTGTCTCTTGTCTGCAGGCAGGTCAAGTTCGAAGATGGGATATATCCACGTTTAGGCATAGCTCCCATAAAACGTTAATCCCAATTTTCGGTGTTTTGGGGTTCTTGAGCGCGTTTTCCACGGAATTGGCTGTAATTTAGTATTTTGCGTTCTTAATAGGTACCGAATTCGCTGAAATTCGGCGCTTTGGGTTCTTATTGTGTATTAAATGTCTCCACAAAAAGTTATAAATATAGGTTCACTTTTTCTGGTATCCACCATATGACGGTACATCTTTATAGACACAAAATCTCTCCACAAAAAATTATGAATATTGGCTCATTTTTTCGGATAGCCCCTATATAAGGGTACACCAATTTTCGGTATTTTGGAGTTCTTGAGCGCATTTTTCAACCGAATTCTCTGAAATTTGGTACATTGGGTTCTTATTGGATATCAAATTTCTTCACTAAAAAGTAAAAATATAGGCTCATTTTTTCGATAGCCCCATGAAATATATCGACCGGCAATTAGGCGTCTCCCCCATATAATTATGCCTCCTGAAGGAAAGAATTGAGACACAAAACAAAAATATTGGTTTCAAAATTGACATATGTCGGTCATTAATTAGGCATAGGCCTCATATAATTATAACCCCAAATATTCGCCAATTCCTACACTATGTAATCTAACTTTGTAATCTAAATTGCAGTAGTTTGAGGATTGTATATTCTACCATGCGTTATTAGTATCAGTCTACGCTTTGGGGTTTTCATTTAAAATTGCTGAAATTTGTATTTGGTTTACATAAACCGCTTTGTAGAATTATCGGTATAGGTTCACTTTTGGTATGTTCCCTATATTTTCATTTCAAGTATCTGTCAGTATACCTATGGTGGAGGGTATTACAAAGTTCGGCCCGGCCGCACTTAACGCTTTTTCACTTGTTATATATTAGCCTTAGTTACTATTTATAGCTAAGGTGTGAATATCTAGCTAAATCTACCCAACTCTCTTCGACACAAATGCTTTTCTAGCCGATTAATGAATTTTGTCTTCCTGGATGATTCTATCCATCTATTAGGAGTTTTGGTTTGCGTACTCCTCCTCTTCCTTTTACAAACTTACAATCTTTCTAATTCGAATTTTTGTTTGGAAAAATCATCAAATTTTTCCGATTCAAATGAGGTGGCTGTATAAACAACTGTGCTCAAATCGCCTCCGTCGCCAGCCGGCAATAAATCATCATCGACAATTGTCATATTGTTATCGTCACAAGATGATGATGCTGCTTCTGCAGTTGAATCACCATTACTCTCCTCCATTGTTTTTGGTTGTGTTGTTGTTGCTGCTGCTGGTGGCTCATCATCCTCATTTGTTATATTTATCAATAACTCGTGTGATACTTTCCGTGAAGTGGTTTTTCCTTGAGTGGTATTGGATGTGGAAATTGGTGTAATATCAAAGCTTCAGATCGGAGGGTAGGAGGGAAGAAGACACACACAAAAATGTAGGTTAAGTTTTTTTTCTATTCAGGTCGCATTTCTTGCAATGATTTGTTCTTCATTGAGAAAATGACTTACGATAAGGCCTCTATTGGTAATAAAGGTGTAGTAGTATTGTCTTCCATTACGTGTTTTGAACTTTGTAGTTGTATTTTGTTTTAATTCAAAAGAAAGATTATTTATTGAATAAAAAAGGCGTTTTTTTTTAATTTATAAAATTATAACAACTTTATGGGGGGACGGAAATACAATTTTTGGTTCCGCAAAAATAAGAACGTTTTCTTTGCTACTATGGCTTGCTATCGATTATTAACACCATATGAAGAATCGCACACACACATTTACACTTGAAAAAGGAGAATGTCAAAAAAAGTTGGTAACACCAAATAACCGCCTTTCATTATCCTCCCTCTCACAACGTTAATGCAAGAAGCAACCCCATCAACACAACTCCCCCTACTCCATCCTCCCACCACAAATTGTGTCCCCATAACAGAATAGAGGAACAAGAAAATAAAATACCAACATTCAACATATGTTGTGGTGCTGCTTGGTGCTTCGGTCTCCCCTCTGGGTATTCTGGGTAATATCGCCAAGCCAAAAAATTCGTACTTACATTTTATCCTCTTCAAAGAAGAAATCATCATCTGTATCGGTCAACATATTGTGCAATTATTTTAAACAATTTCCTTTTACAATTATTTCTTGGGAGCTCACAAAATATACCGTTATTTCGCAAAAAAATATTTTATGCACAAAAAATAGAAGTATACTTTTAGTTGTTTGCGTTATGATAAGGGTATGGAGAATGAGAGACACACATAAATGACAAGTGTCAAGCATTCACAATAGTGTTGTTATAACAGGGTTGATATTTTATGTGTAGGGTTGCCGTATTAATTTTAAATGTGTACATGCAAAAAATAAAATTTTTTTTTGTTACAATATTTTTATTAAAAACTAAAGTTGCTAGAAGGGAAAAATCGTTCTCAGAGCACAAAATGATTCGAAAATAGAAAAATGTTAAAATTAGATGAAATTTTCATTCAAAATCAATCCAACTGGGAATCAGAAGTTATCATTCGTAGTTAACATTAGTAAATTCTTTTACGTTCTGGAACACTGTAGTAAACAGTGGTCGAAAAATACATTTCTATACCGTACCAAGCATGGCACAATAAAAAGGTAGTCCATTTAGCGCAGCTGATGGCTCGATTAACTGTCAAAGTGCGTAATTTCAACTTGAATTCAATGGCACAATGAATAGGTAGTCCATTTAGCGCAGCTGATGTCTTGATTAACTGTCAAAGTGGATAATTCCTACTTGAATTCGATGTGCAGTGTTGCCAACCATTTCAAATATTATATGGACAAATTTGACAGATAATCGAGACAAAAACTAAGGTTTTTGTTGGTATACATCACCTTATTATTGCATCATGTTGAATTCGATGTACAATGTTACCAACCATGTGAAATATTATAAGGGAAATATCGACAGATGGTCGAGATAACAACAAAGGTTTTTGTTTTGATACATCACCTTATTATTGCATCACTTGGTACAAGTATTGATAAACGTCATTAAGGTCGGACGGTCCGAAGTTTTTATACCCTACAATACGTGGAGTGTATTCGGGATAATAGTGTTCCAAATTACAGATGCTCTTGTTTAAACGGGACTATTTTTATTTATTCACCAGGAATCCGATATGACAAATTATAGACACATCTATGAGAAAATTGGGTTGAAAACGGTTGTTCCATAAACCGAGCCTAAAAAAGATTTCCAAGCGCGTCGGTCTTGTGCGCATCTCCTATAATTTGAAAGACCACGTTCCAAGATCTTGTCTTCTACTTGGTCATTCCATCTAATCCGTGGCCTTTCGTTCTGTGTGCTCCATCCGTACGCTTTTTTATGCCTTTTGAGCTGGGGCATTCTCATTCATTCGTACAACATGGCCTAGCCACCGTAGTCGCTGCAGCTCAATACGACTATGTCGATGTCCGCGTATAAATTGTAAAGCTCGTGGTTCATTCGACGCAGATCGGCCCGTAGATCTTTCGGAGAGTTTTTCTTTCAAACACCCCAAGAGCTGACTCATCTGCTTGCAGATCCATATAACAGCACGGGTAGTATAAGTCTCCTATAGGTTGTGAGTTTGGTCTTGTTTCTAAACTGCTTACTTAGACCATAGTAGCATCTGTTGGCCATCACAATCCTCGTATTCTCGCCGTTTACTGCCAGACCCACTTTGGCAGGCTCCTTCTCAATTTGTTCAAACGTGGTTGGAACCGCTCACAATGTTAGACTCATTATATCGATGTCATCGGCGTAGGCGAGTAACTTGTGTTGTTTGGTGTACAGAGTGTCATTTCTGTTCACCTTTGCTTCTCGTATGGCTTTTTCAGCAGGATGTTGAAAAGATCACACGACAAATTGTCACATTGTCTGAATCCTCGTTCGGTATGAAGGGCTCTGATAGGTCCTTTTCGGCTTTAACTGCTGACCTTGTGTCATTTCAAGTTATCCTGCATAGCCGTATTAATTGCTTCCAAATTGGTTAAAACAAGTGCTCAATCTCCAAAAAATACCGATTTTTTATACCGGAACATGAATCGACATAGAATTTTATTCTGATCAAGAATATATTTATAATATTAATGGCGTCTCCGGTGAATATTTCGATGTGTTGCAAACGTTATGACAAATTTAATATCCACTACACCTTATTGTGGAGGGTATAAAAATTATGTCATTATTATAGGGTACATCTACCGAATTATTATAGTTCCTGTTCTATATCTGACGGAAGGAGTTACTACATATATGGTCTCGGTTTTTGTTTTATACCACACGAGATATCCTACCTTATGTTATTGTACTATGGTTCCAACCAATAAGCTACATTTTTCAACCGCCAAGCTAAACCCACTAATCTGTTCCAAAATTTCTTTGGACATATCAGTTTAAGTTTACATACTTTCTGAACCTGGAAATCGAGGAATCAGAATAAATGGAATCAGTACAACAGTTTTATTTAAACATTTGAAACTATAGATTACCGCAAGAAAATTAATCAGGGCAGGTAGTCAGGGCCATTATGACTACATGCTACCCCGACTAGAACGGCATGTACACTAGAACTTTTTCACCGGGTTAACCTACTTTATGAGGATTTATTTGACATATATGCAAAGGAATTGACAATTGAAACCCACTGGGTTAACGAAATCCGGATAAATGTAAACGTACTATAGGTCCCAAAACTAAAAATGAAATATTTTTACATTTCTGGATTTTCAATTGATGTGTTACCGGACGTCTATATTTTTTCAATGCAAGCAGTCAGCTGTTTAATTTCATTCACAATGAAACAGCTGATTAGATATATTGACAATTCACAATAGCAGATTGATGTTTTTTGTCATTAGCCAGACGGAATCTAAAAACAACACGTAGCCGAAGAATTTATCTAATACTTAAAAAGATTTGTTTATAAGTATTTATTTCGGAAAACAATATGTTAAAGCTACGTTTTTGTGGCATATTAGTTCTGCAATTAATAGGATTAATTCTGTTTGTGCAAGACATTGCTTCACACGAAGCCAAGGATTTCGATGATACCATTCTATATAAAATTGATTTCGATATTCCCGATTTCGAACAAAATCCAGTAAGTCCAAAGAATTTGTAAATTAGATGTTTATACTAATAGAGGATATATTATAGGAACTAAAAAATCAGATACGCACATTTTACACCCATGAAAAGGAACAATATCACTGTGTTATACCTTCGGTGACTGAGGCCAAAGAAGAAGCCAAATCTGATGAACCGGAACTATGTAAGTTTTAACCCAGAGTTATGGATTGAAATTTGATTAATTTTTAAAATTAATTTTTAGCACCCTTTGCTTTGTTGAAAAGCATCTTCAATACGCCCAGTTGTTCATATCGCATTGAGGCCTATTGGTCATATGAAATTTGCCATGGCCTCCATGTTCGCCAGTATCATGAAGAACGTGAGGGCAAAGCGGTGAAATTCCAAGAATACTATTTGGGTAAATGGAGTGATGACAAATCGGAAAAATTACAAAAGGAATGGGAGGAGAGTCGCAAAGCCGGAATGAAATATAAGACCACAAAAATTGATAATATTAAATATCCCTACTTTGAAATGGAATTTACTGATGGTACCAAATGTGATATCATCAATGCACCACGTACCACAATTGTCCGTTATGTCTGCTATCCTCATGGAAAGAATGAAATTTATTCTTTCAAAGAGACTTCATCGTGTAATTATGAAGCTATTATCCTGACATCAGCTTTGTGTGTTATACCCGCTTTTCATCCGGAAGAGTATAAGGAGACTTCGATTAAATGTTATAACTCACCTGATGATGCCCATAAGCCATTAAGTATGTTGCGTCAAGAGCTGAATGAAATGCAATTGTCTTTGGATGAATTCCCGGTGTCGAAGGAGGCCAGTGATGCAGCCAGCGAAGGACGTTTTGCCTATTTCAATCGCATCGGCGAAGATGTGGATAAGATTGTGTTGAGTATTACCAAAGATGGTAGTTTGACAGCGCACACCGCCGATACCAGTGCCGAGGAGACAAGTGCCTTGAAAACTCCTCCCACAACACCGGCTTTACAGGATTTGACACCATTGTTGGAGTTTGTTAAGGGTAAAAAGTGTTTGACAGGGGTAGGTTTTTTTCTTAGGAAATCAATTCCGATAATGTTTAAT